CGCCCGGCGACGCGGAGGCGCGCGGCCGCGGGCCGCCCCGGAGCTGGCTGGCTCCTCTGCGTCCTGCGTAACTAGGGCCAGAGCAGGTCCAGCCGGGCAGGTCGCTGTGCGAGCCAGGCGCCGTCAGCGGCCAGGCCTCCGCGTTCAGAACGCCCAGAGGGCCGGGAGGCCGGGCCGGGTCCCCAGCCTCCACCCGCGGGAGGCCGGGCCGGGACCCCAGCCTCCACCCGCGGCAGGGCTGGTGAAGCAGCTCAGAGGCCTGGGAGGCCGGCCCGGGTCCCCAGCCTCCACCCGCGCGGTGACACGCGTGCGCCCCGGTTCCGTCACCCTCACAGGACTCCGCCGGGGTGGCAGGGTGTCCCTGGAGGATGGTTTCATTTCCCACAGCCAGAGCCTCGAGGAGGCCAAGGCGGAGCAAGGAGGAAGGAGGAGGAAGCTGTGCTTGGTGTCTGCCGCCTGCATCTGCCTCCTGGGCACCACCTGCAGGAGCCAGGCCCGCGTGTCTGCCCTTTGTTATCTCTGACCTCCGACTCTGAGGCGTTTCCTTTGCCTGTGCACGCAGGCAGTTTAGGGACCATTCCACAGGCCTGGACTTCGAGGGCCCATTGGCTTGGGCTACCCTGGTGTTGGAGGCAGCCACATCCAGCACCGGGCTCCATAGCGCCGGCCCCCAGTTACCACCCTCCTTTGCCCTCTTTTGGTGTGTCCTTTACAACATGGGCAGGATCCCATAGCAGAAGGGCCCTTGGACACCCTACTGGGGAGCTGGGAAAAGCAAGGCCCAGAGACACTGAAAGCCAGGCAAACCGAGATCCACTGGCATGGAGACGGAAGAGACCCAGGGCATCGGGCCCTCAGCTGGAAGCACCTGTGAACGTGGGGCAGTGGCCAGGAAGCTGCCTGCCATGGCTCCCACAGGAGGGCGCTATTAGGGCTGTGCAGCCCTGAATGTCCCTGTGGGCATCGGCTTCCCTGGCTGGCCACTGCCAGGGTCAGCCCAGGTGTTGGCTTAGTGGCGGACACTGAAGTCAAGTTGATGGGTCTCGGGAGCCAGGCCTGGCGTGTGCCCGCCTGCCAGCTTACCACTGGCTAGCACTTTGGTGTGAATATGTTCAAAGGCCACCTTGTGGTGCACCACCAGACTATGCAGCTGGCCGTCCTGCCTGCTTGGCAGACACAGGGCCTTAAGGCATGGGTCTTAGAGGGGTGGGGATCAGTTTGCCCTTCCATTCCTGAGAGAATGGCAGTGAACTATGGGTCCTGTGAGGTAGCCCTCTTCCTGCTGATTTTATCACTGTAGTCCCTGCCTGTCTGTGCTCCCTGTGCATGGAGCAGCTACCTGGGCCACACCCCTTCAGGGTGAGGATGCAGACAGAGGGCTCCTTGTGCTGAGGGAGCCTGCTGGGCCTCCTCTCTCTGCTGAGACGTCTGCCAGTCAGGCAGCGTTTGCCGCCTTGTCCTCAGGCCAGGTGGTCTGGGCAGTAAATACCTGGCCTTGTAAGGCTGACAACAGTGAGCAGGAGCAGTGCACCGGGCAGTCGGGGTCCTGGGTGCCTGTGAGAGAAGCCCTGGGTCAACTCTGTGGACCTGGTGTCCTGCCCAGCCTGAGCCTCTCCCCTCCTGCCACCCACCCCAAGGTGCATCTGAAACCCCCTGAGGACCCAGCCTGAGCGGATCCTGGAAGATCCAGGGAAAAGAGATGCTACATCAGTGAGTGGGGCCTGTGCTTCTGGGGCCCAGGCAGCCTAACAGGAAGAAGGAACTGGAAGGAGAGCCTGTGCACTCACACAGGACCCTGACGTGTGTGCATAGTGACAGGGGCACTGCAATGGCCTGCCCATTCCTCAAGGAAACAGGAGCATGTCTACACAGACATCAGCATGTAAGTCAGCTGGGACAGGGGACGCTCTTGTAAGGCTAAAGCAGGAGGGTCAGGAGTTCCATGTCAGCTGGAACTATATTCTGAGGCTTGATCGCAAAACACAAATAAAAACACTTACTTACAAGTATGCATGGCAGTATTTGCAATAGTCAAAAAATTTAAGTAACCAATATCCATTAACTGATAAATCATAGCTATGTGGTCCATCTATAATTATATAGTATTCAGCCATAAAAATGAATGAAATGGGAAGTGGTGCTGTGGTTCAAGTGGTAGAGTGCTCGCCTTGAGCTGAAGACCTGAGGGATAGCGCCCGGGCCCAGAGTTCAAGCCCCACAACCGAGACAGAAAAAAAAAAAGGAATGAAATGCTGGGTGCCAGTGGCCCTACCTGTAATCTTGGCTGCTAAGTAGGCTGAGATCTAAGGATTGTGCTTCAAAGCCAGTCTGGACAGGAAAGTCTGTCAGACTGAATTCCAGTTAACCAAGCAAGAAGCAAGAAACGGAGCTGTGGCTCAATTGGTAGAGTGAAAAAGTTCAGGGACAGCACTCAGGCCCTGAGTTCAGGCCTTAGTACTGTCATAAAAATAAAACAATAAAGGATAAAAGTTCTCACATCTGCCCAACGTAGGTGAACCCTTAGGACATATGCTGGGTAAAAGAAACCCACCTACAAAAATAACAGCTCCATGTTACCTGCCTGTGGGAACTGCAGAGACCCAGAGCCTGAAGGTACCCAGGGATTGTCCAGAGGAGGAACGGGCCAAAGCTGCGTCTGGATGTGGACCTGGTCTGCAGTTATACTGTCTGGCTGTCCCCTGTGTCTGTGAACATGCTGACCACTGTGTACTTTCAGAGTACAAGCTTCATGGTATATGAATTACATCTCAAGTAAAAAAAATTACTGAAATGTGTTCTATGCAGTGGGAAGTTAGGGCTCTTCACGGAAGAGGCCTGAGCAGCCTGGCTGACGGAGTGCTCTGGCTGCTCCTAGTGTCTCCGGGGACTGCAGGGTAGTGTGGGATGCTCATGGGAGGCACTGTTGGGCCTGTCCTGTTAGAACTTGGAGGCTGCAGTGACTGTTGCCAAAAGGAAACTGCCACACAGTTCAGGCAGAAAAGTGTTTATTTGGGAGAGCCAAACTGCCCGCCTGTACCAAATGTAGGTGTAGGTGTGCCAGGAGAGAACTTATGGCAGGGAGAGAGATTATACGGGGGAGGGCGGGGAGGAAGTGTGGCTGCAGCGGATGGGGAAGTGAGCCCAGAGCCTGGGGTCGCTTGCTGACTCACTGGCGGGTGATTTACAGTCACAGGCGGTTGCTGGTTTGGGGCTATCCTTCATGAGGAGTGGAGGAAGGTGTCACAGCCCTCAGCAACTGAGGACAAGACAATGACAGACACCAGACCATGGCACTGAGGTCTGGGGCACCAGGGGCCTGAAGTCTTCCACTAGCTTCAGGTGTCCTGCGTCCAGTTTACAGGGTATCTATTGAGTAGCGTATAGGTGCAGAAAGTGAAGTCATAGTTGCTTTGAAGTGACAAGCACCAATCATGTGGTATAATTTTACTCAAGTGATAACTTTTTTTTTAATCTTAGAAGCAGGTGTAACCAGTAAATGACTTACAGTTAGCATAGATTTTTGTTTATCCCCAAGTTCCTAGAGGGTTTGGTGTGGAAATAGCCTACACCTGGGTTAGAAATCTGAACTCTCTTCAAGCTAGGACTGATCAACCTTCTCAGGAAATTCTCAGCATTCTGAGAGTTCGTGTTGGGAGGAGGCATTCCATCCTTCCAATCCAGTCTCACAGCTCAACTTTTCGGGGCTCCACAGGAAGGAAGCTGTTTTCTGGGGCAGACCTACAATTCCAGCCTTTAGATAGTTATAAAGGGGCGCCGACTCTCTGGCTGCTTCCTGCTGGCAAGGTGTGTTGGCTTGAGGGGTAAAAAGCAGAGATATTGTCTGGTCCGGGAGAAGGCACCTTAGTGGTGAATGCATGTATGCATCCTTGGATGAAATCTGAAAGAAGTCTAAGAGGCAGGGGCTGAACAATAAGAAAAAACATTATTAGAGGGTCTACAAATGGCAGAAGGAATGGTGGAAAGGAAAAAAGGTTCAGGGTGGAAAAGAAAAATTGGATGACTTGGCTGGTTCCTGTCTCCTGCATTCCAGGTGGTCCTGGAGTGGGCAAACCATATCCCTAACTACTACTGACTGATTAACATCTGGCAACTGGGTAGGGGAGAGCACAGTGGACTGGTTAAGAA